AATGAGTCTTTAGAGCCCATTCTTCTCTTAGAAGGAGGGTGCCGGCACTTAGCCTCACAGAACATTCCATCACATGAGCTTTTCTCACAAAGATCATAGCAGGAGGAATGAGGAAAACAGATGTTGCTTATAAGGCTTCTAATAGACGTGTTTCCATTGTAAGCCGATCCCACTCTGAATCTGGAGTCGGCTCCGTTCGCTGTGTGGGCCGAACGTTTCAGTCTCATAGTTTGTCAGAAAGCTTATACAGACCTTTGCCTGTTACCTGAAATCTCAGTGATAAAAAATACTCTTGAGAGAATGAGTTCACATTCTTCCAAAGACATCATCCTATTAACCAAATTAATTCTCTTCTGTAATTGGACAAACTTTCTTTATCAAATACAGAGCGTTTTCTGGGCCTTGGAGGGGGGGAGCACATAAATCTGGTGTAATGATCTCTACAGGTCATTGTACACAGCTTCAAATTAACCTTCAACTCCACCCTGCTCCCTACGCTGCCCAGGACCTCAGGGAAGGCCGGAAGTCGCCCGCAGAACAGTTCCTCATTATCCTCAGTCCTGAGCATGTGAGCACAGCAGCCGCTCAGGTGCCCCTGAGGGTTGTAGCACAGGTTTTTCTGGTTTTTCCTCTTGTGACTACACTTTCTTCCTTCCTTCCTTCCTTTCTTCCTTCCTTCCTTTCTTTTATGTTTTTATGGCTTTATTGTAGTATAATTGTTTGATTGTAGTGTAATTGACATACAATAAAATACACATTCTTAAGTGCAGTTTTATAAACCTTGAAGTGTGCTATGCCCGTCCTTTGAGCGTCTCAACCATTCCCATGCCCTTCCTTAACCCTTCTTTCCTTTCTCATCCATCGGGATGGCCTCCACTTGGGAACCTTCACAATAAGGGAAGTTCATTTACAAGTCTGTCATGTCTGCGCTCATTTACATGGGTAAATAGCTAGAGATAAAATGACTGAGTCATAGAGTAGGTTAATTTAACTTTTTATAATGAGGTTTAATTTTATTTTATATGTATGAGTGCTTGCCTGCATGTATGTCTGTGCACCACATGTGTGCCTGGTGCCCTAGGAGGCCAGAAGAGGACTTGGATTCCCTGGAACTGGAGTTACAAACTGTTGCAAGTTGACATGTGGGTGCTGGGAATGGAACTCCAGTCTTCTGCCTGAGTAGCCTGTGTTCTTAATGACTGAGCCATCTCTCCAGCCCCAAACTTGACTTTTTAAAACACTGATCAATCGTTTTCCAAAGTGCTCTTGTCAGTTTACATTCCCAGGGGCCAGTTAGATGGCTCACTGGGTACAGGCATGCACTGGCAAACCTAACAACCGAATTCAGTTCCTGGAACTCTCATAAAGGTGCAAGGAGAGACCGGAACCACTCACCCTCTGTGGAACACGTTCCCTCACACACATCATACTCGGGCGGTGGTGATCAGTAAAGTCTCCTTTACATTCCCTAAGTCGGTATGCCTTTGTCATTTTATGTCATTTTAGTGACCACAGTGGCACTGCTGCATTCGGCATGTGTGTTTGGCACGTGTTTCTCTTGGCTGGCTTTTTTTTTTTTAAATTGAGTTGTTTCTTGTTACTGAGGTACAAAGTGAGTTTGATGAAATCCCAATTATTGTGACTTCTCTAAGTCTGTACTTAGGATCAGGGATTGTCACAGTGACCGACCCAAGCTCACGGATTTTATCCTGTCATTTCTCAGATGCCGTACATAGTCTTACTTTATGTTTTGCTGTGGGTTTGGTTGGTTGGTTGGTTTTTGTTTACGCGGTACTGAGGATTGAACGGAGGGCCTCTCATGGCCTAGAAAGTGCTCTACCACTGAGCCGCACCCCAGGCCTTCACCCCGTTTCCTTTAATTCTGTTTCTGAGTTTTGAGGCAGGGTCTTCTGACGATGCCCAGACAGGCCTCCTGCCTCAGCCTCCCTGGTAGCTGGACTTACATAAAGCCAAGTTTCACCGGCTTCCTGTCAGCTCTTGATGGGGGCTGCCCTGAGCGGGTGGCAGGTTCTGCAGAGCTGACGGCAGCAGGCCTCAGCTTGCGAGCGCCCACATTCCCCATCACCCGGCTCTATTTTCTGTTCCTTCGTGCGGCCTTATCATTTGCAGCGGCTGGTCTTACACGACTTTCTCAGACATATTCCCAGGTATTTCACAAGTTTGGTACTATGAGTAAATAGCATTTGAATGTCACTTTTAACTGTTCACTATCAGCTGTAGATGCTGCCTGTGTGCGTGTGTGTATGCGCTGGTGTAGCCCCTCGGGTGATTTTTTCAGCTGGTGTCTTCCAGCCTCACTGAACTCGGTAGCTCTAGTAACAGTTTTCTAGATTCCATGGGGTTCTTGGAGAGATGCATTTCTGCATATATGCAGGGTTTTTGCTTGTGTTACTGTTTTTGTTTTTTGGTTTTTTTTTTTTTTTTTTTTTTTTTTGGTTTCTCTGTGTAGCTTTGCGCCTTTCCTGGAACTCACTTGGTAGCCCAGGCTGGCCTCGAACTCACAGAGATCCGCCTGCCTCTGCCTCCCGAGTGCTGGGATTAAAGGCTCGCGCCACCACCGCCCGGCTTGTTTTTGTTTTTGAAGCATAGTCTCCTGTTACCCAAGCTGGCCTCAAACTTCACTGAGTGGCTGAGGATGACCTTGAACTCCTAATCTTCTTGCCTGAAGCTCCCAAGTGCTAGAATTAAAGGTTGGGCTACACTGCCATGCCAAAATGGACTAGGAATTCTACTCTTTGGCATTATCAATACCATAGAGTGCTTAGCAGTGTTCCTGCCTCAACCCCCCAGATGGACATTTCCAACTTTTTGTAGAGGGAAGAGATGAGGCAGGGTCTCACTGTGCAGCTCTGGCTGTCTGGAATTCTCTATGTAGACCAGGCTGGCCTCAAACTCACACAGAACCACCTGCCTCTTTGGGGACCGTGGTACACCTGAGGTGGACGTGGGCTTATCCAGACAAGAGTGATGTGGGGTCTTCTCTATAAGAAGCTCTTTCTGCGACAGGGTCTTGCTATGTAGTCCTAGCCGCCCTGGAGCTCAGAGCTGCTGGCCTCTGCCGGGGTCAGAGGTGCCCCACCCCCAGCATGGCTTTTACTTACAGTAGCCACAAGGCTGGTCAGGCTAAGGACCTCTGACAACCTGTCTCTCTCAGGGAAGTGTCCAGTTCACCTGATGTGGCAGAGCTGTGACTTAAGGTGTTCATCGTGTTTCTTAATTATCCCTTCTCATGTGCCAAGTCCATAGTAACCTCACTGCTTCTCACGGATTTATACTGGCCTTCTCTGACTCTGTCTGTCTGTCTGTCTGTCTGGTCAGTCTGTCTAGAAATGTATTTGTTTCGGCCTCCTCATACTCCCCATTCCATTCTCTCAACCCCGTGACACTCTGGACAGGTCTGGGTTGTCGCACCTTGTGTGTGACCTCATAGCCATGCACAGTAAACTAGAGTCATTTTCGAGTCCCCCTTTGTTCCTCCCTTTCTTAAGCCCTTTGTGACTAATGTAAAATATTTGAAGAACTTTGTTTCTTATAATTTGTCTTTAGTTCATTTGTTTCTAGAAGGAGAATAACCCTGGCTCCTTTTATTCCAATTTGGTGAGAAGCCGTCTTCAATGCTGTTCCTATGTTATCTTTTTGGTTTTTTTCAAGACAGGGTTTTTCTCTATGTAGCCTTGCGCCTTTCCTGGAACTCGCTTTGGAGACCAGGCTGGCCTCGAACTCAGAGATCCACCTGTCTCTGCCTCCCGAGTGCTGGGATTAAAGATGTGCACCACCACCACCCGGCAATGTTATCTTTTTTGGTTTTTCAAAACAGGGTTTTTCTGTGTAACAGTCCTACTGTCCTGGAACTTTCTCTGTAGACTAGGCTGGCCTCGAACTCACAGAGGTCTGCCTGCCTTTGTTTCCCAAGTGCTGGATTAAAGGCATGTGCCACCATGCCTGACCTATGTTATCTTTATGTAACTGTCCGACCAGTCTGGTGCTCAGCTGGAGAAGTTAGTGGATTTCATTGCTGCCTCTGGAAAGAACACCTTCGTAACAGGTGTTCTCTCTCTCTCTCTAATTTTGTTGGTTTTTTTTTTTTTTTTTTTTTTTTTTCCGAGACAGGGTTTCTCTGTGTAGCTTTGCACCTTTCCTGGAACTTGCTTTGTAGACCAAGCTGGCCTTGAACTCACAGAGATCCACCTGGCTCTGCCTCCCGAGTGCTGGGATTAAAGGCGTGCGCCACCACCGCCCGGCATAATTTTGTTGGTTTTTGAAGCAGACTCTCACATGGCTCAGGCAGGCCTTGAGTTCCCTGGGGAACCTAGGATGACTGAAACCCCGCCGCTCCTCTGCCGCTCCTGCCCCTCCTCCGGAGCGCGAGCCTGCAGGAGCGCACCGCCTGCCTGACACCATTTGGAATCTCTTGAAACCGCACTGTACTGGGGGTTTCAGTAAAGAAGGGATCCACAAGGAAGGGGAGGGAGTTAGACTGTAACTTTATCAGCAAAGACCCCAAGAAATGCGCCTCTCCAGAGCTTGCCTTAAACCTTCCCTCTAAGTGAGAAGCACTGTGCGTGGTGTGTTCGCTACTTCAGTCCTCTGACTAAATGCCGGACGGACACCGGGGAGGGAGGGTTTGCCTCTCTCACCTTCAGAGGCTGCAGTAGAGCAAAGCAGTTCACAGGTGACCGCCCGGAAGCCGAGACTGTCTGCACTGCCTGCTTCCTCTCCCCTTCTCACCCCACTCAGGCCCCAGCTACCTGGGTGGTGCCCCCCACCACCCCAAGCGGGCACGTCTCACTCCCGTGGTCACCAACGTGCCTATGGGCAGTCCAGACGGACTCTCCTAGTCCGCTGGACGCGTCTCGGTCCATCAAGCTGACAGTCAAGATGAACCTGCATGGTGAAACAGAGTCCCTGGTGACAGGTGAGCTCTTGATGTTTCTAATGCTGTTCCACACCCCTTAGGTTCTCTCTCTTGTCTGTTCTAGGGTTTCTCTCTCAACTGGTCTATGACAAGCCTCTGACCGAATGCATCCGCGCTGGCCACTATGCAGCAAGTGTGATCATTAGGAGAACTGGCTGCACCTTTCCCGAGAAGCCAGACTTCCACTGATGGGAGAAGGGAAACTCAGGCTGGGCGGTACAAGCTGCGGTGACCACGTCCTGAGCGTTCCTGCCATAGGAAAGAGTAAACTCCTCTGCTGTCTCTGCCAACCATGATTCTCATTCATTTAGAGGGCTCGGTACTGCTCCTAGAACCTTTGGTCTCCGAAATCTGGGGGGAAAATGTTTATTTCCATAGTTTGTTAGTGCCTCTTAAATGTCAATAGGAACACAACATTTCAATAGAAATTTTTATTTCATTTTTGACTGTAAATTCATCGGTATTTAGTAAATGGATCGGTTTTTTTGTTTTTTTTTTTAACATTTCTGCTTTAAATACAGGTGCAATTTAATATAATAGACTTTTTAAAGAAAATAATGCTAACATCATTCTTGAGCTTTTTATATGAATATATTTAATTTGGAAGTGTGTATGCACACACGTCATATATATATAAATATATATATATAAATTTACCTGATAACTGGTCAAATAAGGTACAGAAATGTTTATCACACCAAATTATTCCACATAAGCTCTTCAGTGTGCTTCAGACATATGATGGACTTGGGACAACTGATTCCCCCAATATTTGCATTATGTTCTTCGAATCATAGCCTTGTGCTTACTTATGGTACTCTGTAATTTGATACAAATAAATTACCATATAAGAATCTTTTCTGTCTTGGCTTACGCTCAATAAAACTAAGGAAGAAATTGTTATTTAGTACTGGGTCCCATATGATTTTATTGATGGGATGAGGGAAAGAAATATAGTACATTATAAATATGTGTGTGCATATACATACACACATACACACACACACACACATACATTATAAGAGACCAGTAAGCATTCTTTTTTGGTGTTTTCCTTTCTTTCAGGGTGACTTGTAGGAGTGGAATTGCTAGATCATATCTAAATTTTTTCTTTTGAGACAGGGACTTGTGTAGTTCTATCTGGCCTGGAACTCGCTCTTGTAGACCAGGCTGGCCTCCAACTCACAGAGATCCACCTGCCTCTGCCTCACCACTCCTGGTCATATGTAACCTTTTTTAAGGAACCACAAAAACTTTCCCACACAACTGCAGAGCTCCCCATTCCCTCTGGCTGTGATAACTATAATCCTAGCACCCGGGAAGCTAAGACAGGTGATCACCAGCTCAGGGCCAGCCTGCGCTACTTCACAAAGCCTGTTTCCAAAACCCAAAGCATATTTTTATACTTACAGAAGTGTGTTACACTCCCAGCTTCTGCACGCTTTTAATCCGACACTCATTCCTGCCTGTCCTCACAGTGACAGCCAGCCCGCTGAAGGAGCCATGGGTGAGGGTATGCATGGAGACTCAGGGGCAAGCATGTGCTTGTAGAGGCCAGAAGTCAGCCCCAGGTGTCCTCCAGGCAGCACCCACCTTGTGTTTTGAGGCAGGATTTCTTCTTGACCTGGAACTTGAATGGCCCAGGCTCTCGGGATCTGCCCGACTCTGCCTCCCCAGCACTGGGGTCACAAGCACACAGCACTGTTTGCTTCTTGATAAGGAATTCCACATCTATGCTGCCTCACTGGGGACCCAGCCTCCAGCAGGTGAACAAGACAAGCCAGAGCACCGTGCGGTTGCAGGGCTCGGGTAATTGTGGTGGACATGTTAAGGAGCCCGAGAACTGTTTCCTGGAGTGGCTGCACCCCTTGAGATTCCTAATAGCAACACAAGGTTCCCACTTTGCCACATCCTCACCCACCGACACTTGTTCTTCTACATCTTAACACCCATCATAGTGGCTATGAAGTGGTCTCTCCTGTAGTTTTCCCTTGATTTCCCTAATGACTATTGATTTGGGCGTCTCTTCACATGCTGTCAGCTCTGTATGTTACCATTCGGCCTGATGTGTTTTCAGATCCTTTTCTGATTCTGTAAGTGAGACATTTATCTTACTATTAAGTTGTATTTTCAGTATGTTCCATACGATGACTAAGGCTATTTTCTCCCATATGTGGGTTGTCCTTTCTGTTTCTAGGGATGCTGTGGCCAGCATGAGTTTCAGTCAGTGCAGGCCAGTTCTGACTATAGCTTTTCCATTTTTTTCCTTATAGCCAGGTTTCCCTGTGTAGCCCTGGCTGTCCTGGAACTCACTGTAGCCCAGGCTGGCCTCAGACTCTGAGATCTGCCTGCCTCTGCCTCCCGAGTGCTGGCATTAAAGGCGTGAACCACCACTCCTTGGCCAAGTCAGAATATTTAGTTCTGCATTTTATCCCAAGGCTTAAGAGCACTGGCTGCTCTTCCAGAGGACTCAAATTCAATTCCCAGCAGCCACATGGCAGCTCACAACTGTCTGTAACTCCAGGCCCAGGGGATCCTATGCCCTCTTCCAGCCTCCATGGGCAATACCCATAATTGGCGCACAGACATACTTGCAGGTAAAACACTCATACACATTAAATTTAAAAAAAAAAAAAAGTTGTTTTTTAAAGAGCAGTTGAGAAATCTAAGTATGTGGCCGTCATGTGTCTTCAGAGCCCTCAGCTTGGTGCAGAAACCAGCCTGGCTTACATGGCCATGGACGTTATATCCATGTGCCGGAGGGGTTGAGCCTATGGTTTTTAAAACTATCAGCAGCACACATACCAAGATGAATGAGACAGAGAAGAATAGCGTGGTTCCTGTGCAAGGATGACGCTAATTTGTGAAGGACTCCGTATTAATTAATATATATTTTTATCAAATGTAAATATATATGTATCTTTACCTTTGCTAGGTAACACTGAAATTCTGTAAAGTAGCTCCAATAGCCAAAGGACTTCCAAGCCTCAGTGGCTTCCCCTGAGGACCTCCCAGTAATCACCAGACCACTGTTCCCTGCTCTGTCCATGTCATCCCATGTCTGTGTTGTCTGGTCACTGCTTCAGGAACAAACAGACAAAGCCAGCTTTCCAGGCAAGTGCCACTCAATGGTGTGTCAAAATGCAGGCGTCTCAAGTCTTGAATCCACCAGGTGAATTTAACTGAGCCTGATACCTGCACCACGGTTTATGGGTGTAAGCCGAAAGCGCAATGTTCATGTAAGCTTGGGGTGTAATGGTGTCTGTAATTTATTTTCTCCAAAAAGACAAGACTGAATCCTACTCTCCTTTAAAAGGAAGGGTGATGCTGGACTGTCGTGGATAGAAGATAAAGAAATAAGAGCTTTGAAAGGCTTAATAGTTCCACAGAGATGCCTGGCCCTAATCCCTGTAGCCTGTGACATGTAACATGGCAGCAAAAACACTGTAGATACATTGAGGGAGTCAGACCCTAAAATAAGAGTCCACTGGACTCTAGGGAGCCTTGGTCTAGTCCCAAGAGCCTATAAAAGCAGAGGGCTTTGTCTAGCTGGAAGCAGCAGAGGAGGGCAGGAGAAATCAGAGGGATTGGAAGATCAAGAAGGACCTAAGGTAGCACGGACGGCATCAGTGCCTGGGGGCCATGTGGCAAGGTGTACAGGAAACGGCAGTAGCTGAGAGAGGGTCAGGCCAACAGTCAGAAAGGAAGGGCAGCTGCAGCCCTCCAGCTGCAAAGAACAGTCCGACCTCCACCCTGAAACAGCTCGCTAGTCTTTCTCGGGGCCTCAGAGCAAGCAGAGCCCTGCTGAGGGCTGGGGCAGCCTTCTGAGATCCCAAGGGGAGTACCCAACCACCTTTGAGAGGTAGAACCAGGACACAGCAAGTATTTGAAGATACTCTGCAGGTGGCCATCTGCACCCTGCAAAAAACAACAAGTCAAGCGACCCTGGAAAGTAGACCAGAGGCCTGCTGTGGTGGCACACACCTGTGACCACAGCAGGAGACGAGGCTAGTTTGGGTTACACACCCAGACTGTGGAGAGAGAGCTGTCATATCCCCAGTGAGCAAATGGAAACTAGTAAGTTTAGAGCAGAGGGACACCACTGATCTGTATTAATATAAATGGGCTCTCGACGGGCGGTGGTGGCACACGCCTTTAATCCCAGCCCTCGGGAGGCAGAGCCAGGCGGATGTCTGTGAGTTTGAGGCCAGCCTGGGCTACACAGCGAGATCCAGGACAGGCACCAAAACAACACAGAGAAACCCTGTCTCGGAAAAAATAAAAAAATAAAAAAAATAAAAATAAATGGGCTCTCTGTACACACACACACACACACACACACACACACACACACACACACACACACACAGGATGTGGCCAGGTTGCTGGAATGCCGGCATGCACAAAGCCCTAGGTTTAATCCCCAGAATCACTTAGACTGGATGTGGTAGTACACACCTTAATCCCAGCACTTGGAAGAGGGAGAAGGATCAGGAGTTCGAGGTCATCTTCTACTACATGAGTTCAAGGCTACATATGACCTTGTTTCAAACGAACAAAAGGAACAGTTTTACATTTTTGCTTTGTTTTGTTTTTGGAGACAGGGTTTCTCTGTGTAGCTCTGGCTGTTCTGGATCTCGCTCTGCAGACCAGACTAGGCATGTGCCACTACTGCCCAACTTTGCTTTGTTTTTGAGATAGGCTCTTACTGTGTATTCCTGGCTAATCTAGAACTCAATGAAATCTACCTACCTCTGCCTCCTGAGCACTAGGATTAGATGTGTACACCACCACACTCAGCTTCAGTTTACATTTTATTTTATTTTTTTCTGAGACAGAGTTTCTCTGTGTAGCCCTGGCTGTCCTGGAACTCACACTCCAGGCTGGCCTTGAACTCAGAGATTAAAGGCGTGCACTACCATGCCTGGCTCATTTTACTTTATTTTATTAATTGGGACAGGAGAGATGGTTTAGGAACTGAAGCAGTTTCTGCTCTTGTGGAGGACCTGGGCTTGGTTCCCAGCACCTGCACAGTAGTTCACAATCATCTGTAACTGCAGCTCCAGGAGATCTGATACCCTTTTCTAAGCCTCCTCAGGCACCAGGTGCACACATGGTGTGGGGACATACATGTAAGCACTCATGCATATAAAATAAAAATAATCTTCCAAATTATTTATGTATTCATTTGCTAGAGAGGGTATGCATCTGTGCCATGGCCTACTTGTGGAGCTCAAAAGACAACTTACAAAAATCCATTTTCTCTTCTACCATGTCTGATCCCGAGGTTGAACTCAGCTCAGGCTAGGCAACAGGCTCCTTTACCCACTGAGCCATCTCTCTTGATGAGCCAGGGTTTTCTTTTTTTATTCAATGAGCATTAGTGCTTTGCCTGCGTGTATGTCTGTGTGAGGGTGTCAGATCCCCTGGAATTGGAGTTACAGATGGTTGTGAGCTGCCATGAGGGTGCTGGGAATTGAACCCAGGTCCTTTGGAAGAACAGTTAGTGCTCTTAACCTCAGAGCCATCTCTCCAGCCCAGATGACCCAGGTTTTAAAATTATTATTTAAAGATGTATTCTCTGAAGGCAGAGGCAGGTGGATCTCTGAGTTCAAAGCCAGCCTGCTCTACAGAGTGAGTTCCAGGTCAGCTAGGGATAAACAGACCATCTCAAGAAAAAATTAATTTCAATGAATATAGGTATTTTGCCCACATTTATGTATGTGTACCATGTGTGTGTCTAGTGCCTGTAGAGGGCAGACGAGGGCAATGAATGGGAACTGGAGTTACAGATGGTTATGAGCCATCAGGTAGGTGCTGGGAATCAAACTCTGGTCCTTTGCAAGAGCAGCAAATACTCTAAACTGCTCATCAGTGTCTCCAGTCTCCCACGCTTACCAACAGGCT